GCTTTATTATTTAATAATATACAGGCTTTATTATTTAAATATATTTTATTTTAATGAAGGATAAATGTATAATTATTAATATGAATATTGTACCTTTATATTTCTAACAACAAATATTATTGAAATCGAGTATATTTTGTTTTCGTTAATAGACTAAACAAGAATATAAATTTTAGTTATTTTTAAACATTAGACTTTCTACAGTTTTTTTACCGAATTCTAAATTATTATTGTACAGCTCGTCTTCTTCGGTTTCCTCGTCTTCTTTTGATTTGACAAAATTATTCAATAACTTTTTAGAGCCAATTTCATTCATTGTTAAACCAATTGATCTTACACCTAAACGAACTGAGAAGAAACAAGAAGCTCACAAGAAACAAGGGTCAACAAAGACCATATTATAAGTTGAATCAAATATTTGAGAACATGTTTTTTCCTTATTTGTTCTGTTTTAATAGAATAGATCATCTTACTAGTATGGGCACCCAAGCCCCCAAAACCCTTTATCCGGGCCTGACTGCGTTGTATAAGCGATGCGTGATAACATTTCTAAATAAATTACGAAAATGGTGACAAATCCTGGGCAAAAATATCATTTCATTACCATATTAGGAATTATCATTGTTTCCTAGGAATTGTTATAATTTCCCAAACTATCAACAATTTTGGTAATATATACTGATTATATATTTCTACAATACAGTCACCATTGATATTACTGCAGGTATGTTTAAAAAATAAAATTTACATTATTTATACAATTCTATCAGCTGGGTAAACATAATAATTACTATGCAAATATTCATATGACTCTATGGCAATACGACATTTTCGAACTAGATAGAAAGTTAATAATTTAATATTATTATTATTTGTTTTTTTTTTAGGAAGATAAACATTCTGAAAAGGATTGGATGTGTAGGCCTAAATAAGAACGAAAATTAAATTGTATTATAGTAGTTCTACAGTTTTTAAAATCGAATAATTTATTAAACATTTTATGGAAATTTACTTGTATATTGTTGTATTAAACTTGTGTTGACTATGTATTGAATTTATGATTTTTAATTTTGTACGACAACTGTAAATATAAAGGGACAAAAAAATAATTTCTCTTTTCTATTCAGAAACGAATAATTAAATATTTAATTTCGCAAAAACCGGAATAGGACTTTCATATTATGCTAGTTAATTATTAAAAAAAAAAAAACGAGTACGACTATAAATTGATACGTATTTAATAATATACCAGTTGGTAAGAGTATGTTAATAAAAATATAATTAGGTGGACATTACACCTCTTGTTTACACGTTATCATACCCGGAGTATGGTTAATATACTAATCGTATATTATTATGTTTGATAACTGTGTATAATTTTACTGTAGACCGTTCGGTGTTTGATACATTATATTTTCGATTCTGAGCAGGAGCTGTCTGTAGTTTTAAATTATTGATGTGCAATTTTTCCACTCGGAAAACACTTTTTGACGGTAAAAATTTGCATTAAATTTTGACCAGCACTTTTTTAGACCCTGAACAAAGCAATGGATGTATTATTGTTGTTTTTTTTTTTGTAAACCACTGTTCTACCTTGATCTGGTCATCGACATTAGTGTTGGTTTCTAGTACAACATTTTGTCTATTCGGTACATTGAAGAGGTAATTATTACTATTTTTTCTTAACAATTGGGGAAAACTGGGGAAAAACAGGAAACTTTACACAATAACGATTGTTGTTATTTTCGATTTTGAATTTGTTTCTAGGCGTGATGTAGTAGTTTTCAGTACGTGTTGGCGATACCTATTATATCTGTGCAGTTCAAGGAAAACAAAAAATTCTGAAAATATCAAACCAAGAGCCATTGGTAAGCATAACAAATAAGTGTACTTAGTGTAAAAAGAAAGAAAAAACCACTATAAAAAGAAAACAAATAAGTACCTAGTTATCGTGGGTGAAGTTATTATTATATAGCGGCTAAATTATATAATAATAACAATTAATAAAAATAATAATAATAATAATATTAATTAACTTATATTAAATTAGCCTATAAATCACATATCGTTCCACTGTACCAGTTTAGGTGATTGCAGTTAAAACCCACAACTATATCGCGAAAGAAGACGTTATCGTTTTCGTTTTGAACGTACTCGAAAATAAATTCGTACGACATAATAATACATTATATTGTGTTTTTATAATAATATCAGAGATAACTAATCTATTTACTTACAGTGAAACTGCGAAGCTTCTAGGAAAACGAAAAATACCTGGAAATTTGACAGCTATATAATCTAAAAGCTGCTGTGCAATGTCAACAAACCCGCGCTGCCGTCGATCGTACAAACGATACAATGACAGATCCAGGCACCAGGGAAAACAGAGGGATTCATCCCTCTTTCAATACACCATAGTATAGTATATTTTTTCTTTTATTATGGTAAAATATATGGTTTCATTGTTGTAAATGGTTTTAACCCCTTCCCCCCAATTTTTTTTTTGTTATAACGATAAGGAATTGAACAAAAAGAGTTTTATCAAAACAGGTAAAGTATTTGCCGACATTTTTTATAATATACCTACCAGAGACTGGAACCGAACTGAAAAGAATCGGTCTGGAATCCAAAATCCCTTAAAATTTTGGGAACCTAACCGGAACCGGAACCGAAACTCATATTTTTAAATTAAAAAACTGTTTTACATTTATACATTTTTTTTCTTTTTCCACCGTGGCTTTTACTTAGTTTATCGGCTATAATGCCTAACACATTAAAATACGACTGCTTTTATAAACTATTTTTATTTTTGTTTGGAGTTGTTTATTTCCTGAGAAATCGTGATAAGTAATATTATGACTTATGAAATCTATTTTTGTATATTAAAATATGTTAAAATAAAAATAATCTTTAGGACATAGGTACTAATAAGTTATAATAGAATATTATTATTTTATTGACATTGTCAATAAATGATAAACGCACATTGTTTCAGCAGTGAATTAGGGTTCTGTAATACATTAACATACCTACTGGTTTAGCCGTAATTTAAACAGCTAGTTGAATCAGGTTCTCAGGTTTTGGAGTCATCGACAGTGGACTGTATAAAGGAAAGTTGCTCACGGTGAGCACGGAATCGCCATCTGCAGGCCTTGTTTCCCTACGTACATGAGCAACGCCACTTAACTACCTATAAGGCCGTGCACAAATCGTAAAAACCAGAAGATACCAGTCCCTGATACCAACAGGCGGTGGGGTTTTGTGTTGGAAGTTTAAACTTTCTAAAGACTGTTCAGTGCACATCCTCGAGAACAATTATATTTATATAGCCATATTTTAACCAAGTTAGTAGTAACTATAATAGTAATAAGTATTTTATGAAAATATAACGTTAACAAAATCTAAAAGTTGAATAATATTGCTTTAAAGCAATATAATATTATTAACAGGTTGCTAGTAAACTTAAAACTAATTGTGCACACGTTGTACCTGTTAGTAAATCAAATGCTATGGTTATTACTTATGAAGATAATATATATAATAAAACGATGAAATTCATAAATAATAATAATATACTGGTTTTAGCTTACGATTCCCCTGAGATTTACATTAAACTTATTACACAATTTATCAAAAATTCTAATAAAATTGTTCTTAAAGAACAAAAAAATATTGTTTCAATAAAAATACATTAAATATGTAATTACATATCCGTAATTTCATCTATTCATACAGGTACATAAAGTAAAACAATTAATCTGTCATCTTATAAACTTTAAACACCTTTGTTTTACCTTTTAGTTGAATATTTTGATTCCTTTCTTAAGCAAAATATCTCAATCTCCACTGTTCAACCAATTATTAATAATTATTACTAATTATCAATTAAGTTAAAAAATGAATACTGGATGATTTTTCTTGATGTGAAAAATATGTATAAATCAATCCCAACATTTAAAGCACTTAGTACACTTAAGGATAAACTTACTTTAAGTAGGTAATAAATTAAAAGCTAATGAACTCACTGAAATCAGTAATGTATTATTATTAATTAAAAGTTATTATCAATCAAAACTATTTTCGACATGATAAATAATTATACCTACTTACAGAATGATGGTTTTGTTATGGGTAGTCCATTAGGCATTAAGTGCTTCATTATTCGACTAACATATGCAAAATTATGAAATACATAATATTCTTAATTGTACAAAATCAACATGAATATGTTATCTATTTTGTTACTGATATAAATTAAATGACTTAATATATCCTATCTACCCAACTTCCCACCTAGTGGGACACTTTTCCCCAATATCAACATTTTTAGATTCGAAGCATACCACCACAGAATAAAATAAAATTTAATTTCATCAAAAATCATTTATTCAGAATAATAGTGATAGTACTATACTGATCATATGTGCTATTCCGTATCTAGGAAATTATTATAAACACATGCTCTTCCTCGAAAAAAACCCTGCGTGCGCTACTGATAGCTTGAACACTTTATTTTATTGCACGTATTGGACCTTATTATTTTTACAATTGAATAGTGTCTATTTTCGGAGAAAATTCGACAAAAACCATACAGGCACGTACGTACTATCAATAGACGCGCGTTAAAACACTCGCATTTGATTCGCGACAAGACGACGACGTGCCTACGCGACTACTCATCGATCCACAATGGCCGGCGACATTTTAACGATCGAAATAATACGTACCGTCTGTATCGGTACAAATCCGGGGAGTTTTCGTTACACCGAAAAGCGGTACAACAGTGATATGTACCCGCCGCCGATCGTGGTGCTGGTTTCTTCCCGGTATACGCAATTAAAATCTCGATACGCAAATACATAGACTGGCAACCGCTGTCAGTCGTACCAACTATAACGATGGGAATTGCGTATTGCGTCTGCAGGCACAGTAAGCACCACGGTTCTATCTATAACCGTGGCGGTAAGCATTTCAACTAACCAGTAACCGCAGTGACCGCAGTTGAATTCCGAGAAACTTTTCTTTTCTTCTTCGGCCATTGCCGTCGGAACGGTGACCAAATCGAGTTTGTACAGTTTTCCGACAAATAAAAATTTTGCCCCGGAGGCGTCGCGTACGTTACGGCCGATATTTTATTCGAATAATATTGTATCATCACACGCCACGGTCAAAGATTCTGCACCAGAATGTCCGCCAGACGGTACCGACGACCGATTCGTTTTTAGTTTTTGTTTTCATACGGCAGGCGGCGTGATGGCGGAAACAATAAAACGTCGTCTTTTCGCGCGTCTGCAATTCACTGTATTTGTGGAAAATGTTTTGCATTCAATTCTCGAGTCTTCCGCCAATAACTCGATCAAAGGTAAGCTACCTACTCGTTGTATTTTAAGCTAATAATATTACGATTTTTCTTTAACAAGGATTATCGTGGGTTCGCTCACAAATATGTTAAACTTGAATCTTGATGCGTACCGATTTTTTTTCCGCGCACGTCCGATCGATAAGTTTAAATAGTACCTCACCATTACAGTATTTTAATCGAATTAACTCGAGTAGGTATTAGTCCGTAAAAAGGAGAACGATTGTTGTCATTTTTGTATTTGGACACTCAATAATTATAAGATTTTAGAAAAATAGTTCTATAGTCTTACACTCTTACACGCTATTATGTCGATATAAATTGAGGAAAAGAGCCCTGTTGTAAATGAATAGGTACGTGGTAGATAATTTAAAAAAACTTCATGTTAAATTTCTAAGCATTTCTGTTTGGTCAAACTATTTTATCCACATAGTAAGTAGGTACCTACCTACCTACTAAAGAAAACTAAAAAGAGCTGATACCTATTGCTGATGGATGTAACTATTGTACCTAGGTAGGAATTTTACTTGGAAAGGTTGGATACATAAAGTTTTTTATTTACATATGTAAGCAACACTAAACCATTGCTAACAAAATACGATTTTGGGCAAAGTTCAGTTATACAATATGTTTTAAAATGACATAATATTTATGACTTTCATCAATATTTGATCTCAACCCATTACTGGTTAGGTTAAGTGAACAAATTCGCAATTTATTTTTAAATTATCGACTTAAATTTCTGTTTATTGAGTTAATTTATTAGTGAAAGACGCAATTTCGATAGAAAAAAAAATGGTGATACTGAAGCTCCTTAGCAAGAAAAAACTACCCAGTTCATAAACACAAGGGATCTATTATAGACTATATCCCTCACTTTCTTCTATTATACTACACGCCTTTACCTACTAACCATTAGTTGTACAAAAAATCTAAAAATAAGTTACAGATTTAATACACAACCATTTCAGTTTTAATGTTTAGGTAATTTTTAATTATATAAATATTATTCATAATTAGAAAAATTTGAATATTTCAGGTTGAATTGTTTTCAAATCTGAAAGTAGGTGACATTTTATATCTTCTTACTAAAAAAAAAAAAAAAGAACTGTTCATAATATTCTATTTCATAACTATTAATTATATTAACATCATCCTCTTATCAAATTATTTTGCTAAAATTGCAATAACTTCATATTTATTAATTTAATAGCAGTAATAATAATAATAATTTATTGTCAAAAAGTTTCACAAATCAATTTGCATAGAATAAATTTAATTTTTGTGACTACCCCAAGAACATAGCTTGTGGCGGGTGCAGCAGTTGAATTACAATATTAATTAATTTTTAAGACTAACATAAGTACAATGAAAGGAAAAAATGTATATATACCATTTACACACATTAAATAACATAAGAAGACAATTTACAAAGTAATTGATTTAAATTTAGCATATTTAAATTGTTTTATAAAGTGATATTTATTATGAAACAATTTTATATTAATATTAAGTTTTATACATAAAATAATACCAATGTTAACAACTGTTGTCAAAATCTTTATTGGTTACTGGCATATTCAGTTTAACTTTTTGCTTACATCGAGTATGGTAAGTAGAAAATAAAGAATAATTTTTTTAAATTTAAGTTGTAAATATAACTGAATACATTAAATAAATATAAGCCATTTATATTCCTTAAGTTAAAAGTTTTGTAAAAATCAATTAAATAAAAATCATAAGGCTTACAAAGAATAAATCGAAAAAGGGAGTTTAAAGTGATACTAATAGGATTTAGTGCTACCATAGATGTATTTCCCCTAATTACAATACCATAACTAATATTGGACTGTGCTATTGCTAAAGAAACTGTACGCAAAAAGCTTTAAACTGATATTCTTAAGTAATTTAAATGTAAAAAAACAATTTTCACACTATAAATATTACATAAGTAATATGTAAAGACCAACTCAAATTTTTATCATCCCTAAATATTTAATTTATTCAATATATTCAAGGTTATCAGGATGCTTAAGACCTATTACAATATGAGTTGTGAATTTTTAAAGGATTATAATTTATAAGCCAAACTTTTATTATCATTAATATCAAAACACATTTAAATTTACTAATAAGTCAATGCAAGTAAATTATTTTCAAATCAGTTAATTACCTTAAATAAGCTAATTGCAGCTAAATTAATTACTTCATTACTTGAACTACCATTAACTAAAATTAAAGTATTATTTGTGACAGCAAAGCTGATAACTTTATCATTCGAGTTTAAATTAAAAAAACCATTAGTGTATATTATGAAAAATAGTGTACTTAAGACAGTTCCTTGTGGTACCCCATAGTTAATACAACTACTTAATTCATTATTAATCCTTACAACTTGATATCTTTCAGTTAAATATGATGATAATAAATCTAATGCTTTTCATTGGATGCTAGCATACTCAAGTTTATTAAGATTTTATGGTTTACTGAATCTAAGGCTTTCTTTAGATCAAGAAATATGCCCATAACTTTTTTGTTACAATCTAGATTATTCCTAATAAATTTATCTACCTGAACTAAAGCATCAATTGTTCATTTACCTAACTGAAAGCCAAATTGATTATTTGAAAAAAATTGTTTTTAACTAAAAAACATACAGATGTATTTTTTAAGCATTTTTTAAAAACTTTAACAATAGATAATGAAAATAAAATAGGCCTGTTGTTACCACAATTTTTTTTATCGCCTGATTTAAACAAAGTAACAGTAATACATTTTTTAAAACTATCATGGAACATCCTAAATTCAATAGCACATTAATGACAATGGTATAGCTATATTTTTGGGAATTTATTTTAGAAAGAGATTCATTATACCAAAATCATAATAAGAACACTAGTCTTATAAATGACAAGTCTTTTTAATTTGATGTATTAAATCTTTTTCTATGTATAAAATTGATACATCTGTTAACTTCTATTGCTCTATTAATATCCTGAACCATTTTTATTTTTTTCATTGAAGATAATCATCATTTGCAAATTGTAGAACTAATTGGCAAAGTGAATGCAACTTGAAATTAATTACAAGTTTTTAAATTGACATAATATTTTTATCAAACTAATGTTTAAAGTTTAAACCATTAATGAGTATTAAGTATTTATTTGTTTATTGATTTTTATTCAAAATATCATAATAAACAAGTAAAAGTACTAACATATTTAGATTAATTTACTACCTCATTAAGCATAGCTTGTGGTGGGGTAAATGAGTTACTTGTTAATAAAATTTAAAAATAAAAATAAACAACACTTAAATAAGATATATGTTAATATTAATTAAATTGCTATTTTTATATATTATGTAAACAAATAATAATAATAATATATAAAAGAAAAAAAATAAATTTCTAAATAACAAACATGATAGGTAGGTAGTTTACAAATTAAGATTTTCTATTAGATATTTAAATATTATCTTTTTATTACATAAATATCCTAGTTTTTTATTACAGTTTAGAGAAATATTTTTTTAAGATACAAAGACATAGAGTTAATCTTAGTTGGATCCAGATAGTCCATAAAATGTTAACCAAAATCCTTTTTAGTGTACCAGACATCAATGTAATATGCTCTAATTTCCCATGTGTTAACAACTTGTTTACTTTTAAATTTTTTTGACTCGTATAATATTACAAATTGTTATACGACTTATTGTTTGTTAATGACCCAATATCAATTTTTAGTTAATGCTGAAATCAAATAATTACATGTTTAACAACATTAAATAACACAATAGAATATCTGACCATTTTATTTTTACTTTGTAATGGTTAATAAATTATTGACTGTCTTCAAAATTCATTTAAAATAAATTATCCATAACAAAAGCCATTAACAAACTATCCTCTGAAAACTATTTCATTAATTTCATCATTACTGTTTCCAGTATTACAAAATAAACGTTAGTTCTCTAAAAATGTACAACTGATTTATCAACAATATTATTTTCAGCTATAGTGGTTTTGATAAGAAAAAAATTTTGATAAATATCCAGGTTCTTTTATGTTTTTCTTAGAATCTAAAATGTAATAGTCACAGTAAACATATTATATATTATATGTATTAATATTATACCTATTATAGGTATTATATATCAGAGTATGCCTAATTCTTTTTCAATGTTGATAACTTACTTTTTAAAACGCCTACTAAAGAAAAATCATGCAAGTCAGCATTCTTTTATTTTAATCAACAAAACAGAAAACATTTCATCACATTAGTTACTTTCAATAAATATTATTTTTACAATTTTGTATTATTTATAATTTTTTTTTTTATTGGGTCGGTTAGACCCCTTCTTACCAATTACAGGAAAATAATTTCACTTTGCCAGTCAAGGGTTAAAACGATTATGAAAAAAAACTAATACAATGCTCACTTTCTTTTTTTTCTCACCACTCAGTATAACTTATAATAAACATCGTGTCAAATTTTCAAGCGTTTTGGTTTAGTTGTACAAATTTATCCATATAATGCCTATCTAACAAAGAAAAACTATTTAAATAAAACTAGAAAATGTCTATAAATAGCTCAAAAATATGAGCTAAATAAATTTGAAAATGTTTACAAAAACTTGCAGTTTTTTCATTTAAAGAGAAGAAACGACAATAAAAAATAAAAAATTACTTCTTCAATTTCCAAGAAATTTTCCATACATTTTTAAATTTAAATAAAGACTTATGGTAAAAAGTATAGAAACGACGAAATAAAATAAATATATCATGGTAAAATGCTTTACTCAAAATTTAAAATTGTTATTATCGTGTGTGCACAGTGTACGTGTACACACT